CATAGGGACTTAATACACTTATCCGAACCACATCTGTCACTAATTAATTCCGATAATCGGCGTTCTAGTATACTTTTCAAAATGCATTGATTAATTCACGAAAGTATGCAACCATAAAAAAAAAACACGTTTATTACAAATACTCCAGCGGAGTGTACTTTCTGACTCCCGTTCAGTACTCTCTCGAACACACCACAGTGGCCTGGCCTCCTACATCACTGCAACAGTTATGAGTGACATCACGGTAGACGTTACAATACAGCCTCCTGCCAGCGGCTCCAGCATCCATCCGTGTGCATTCACCTTGGCGTGCACAACCGGCTTAAGCTACCACCAACTCCAGGCCCTCGGCGCTGGGCTGACCATCACGTCCGCATCAGCTTTAGGGCCCACGCATATAGTATACAAGTGACTTTCCTTTGGTGCACGGGTTACTCTTCCACCGTGATGACGGAGGCGATACGTCCCTCCGAAACGGAAGCGGACTTCTACTGGATTATACGGTGTTACATCCAAGAAGATAAAACTCATATTCATCGTTACGTCAACCTCAAAATCAGCTATAAAGTTCCCTTGCGTAATTACAAAGGGGCCCCCACAGCAGCGACCCGGGTTCGGCCCCAGGTCATTTCATGTTGGATATCTGGTGGATAAAGTGGCACTGGGGCAGATATTCTGCGAATACTTCGGTTTCCCCTACCAATTCTCATACCACCACCAATCATCCTATCATACACGTTATGAAGTCTTGATAGTGAAAGCGTCGTTAAACAACAACACGCGGGGGACCGCGCATTCAAAAACTAACATGACCTTGGGTCGCTACTGATTCCAAACCCGCTCGAAGCATGTACACGTATGTATATCAGCGCGTTTCTCTTTTACTGCGTTGTCCTGTGTAGGCAGAGAAGAGGCCTTGTAGATGGTTCAATCCCCCCAACCACGGAGTTCTACCGATGGATCTTACGGATTCATTTTCACAGAGTTAATTCTGTATCGGACAGGGCAGAGGCCTGATCCGTGAAAAATCGAAACACAAATCACCATGATGCATGACCTGTTCCGATCCAATTGGCGTTTTTAACTTCTATTTCTATCGACTCGTTCTAGAGAGAGAACCATTTTATTCACATACGGTTTATGATCTAAACGCCTGTGTGCCTCTGTTTCGGTGGCCGCCGCTCTCTTTCCATTTAGTGTTACATTCAATTGTTCTTTCATTCAAGCTACAGAGGTTTGGTTTCTTTCATGATCTGTATCCAAGAATTTCATTTTAGCCTCTTCTACATCAATGGTCAACGTACGCTCTCCGCATACTCCCTTTCTCATCAGGAAGCTCTCTCTCCTCTACGTCATCATTCCCCCCCCCCCTTCTGACGCTGATGTTACTGTTTTCTTTCCCACCGAACGAGGTGGCACAGCGAAAACGCCGCTGACTCATACCCAGGAGGTGCTCGGTTCGAATATCAGCCCGGAACAGTCTATCCTTAAGTTTTCTTCCGTGATTTACATTTCGGTTTCCTGGGTCATGAGACTGGAGTCTTGATGAGTACCAGCGGACGAGCCCTAGTGGCTGCAGGAGTAGCGACAACTGCAGCTCGGCAGAGATCATGCGGCCGGAAGTTGAGTCCATATCCTAGCTTCCGGGACGAGATAGTGTTGGTACAGGCTCTGTACGGGGGAAGAAGTATCTCAAGCACTCATCCCTAGAATCGAGCCTTTCAGGAATCCCAAGGATTTGCCTTGTATTTCCAATTCTCCTTTAACAGCACTAACACTAGAATCACAAGTTAAAAATCCCTATGGCCGCATGGATAGAAGCAGGCGTATTTTCAGCCTGATTTCCTTATTTTTAAAAGATAAAGTAGGCTTACAAAATCGCCACGCTGTCTGTGTCTGCGCCCCCCCCCCCATTAACTTTAGAATACCTGAACCAATCTTCACGAAACTTGGAATGTATATCCCGGCACATGAGCCCATCTAAACGGCGTACTTCACAAATTCCTCCCACCAGTCCGTGTCTGTATGTGTATCCCCTTACCGCTGCTAGCCAACGGCTCGCTAAAAACGTTACTGCGGCAACTAATACAAGCAACAGAAGAACTAGTGAACGCGTTTTCTATACGGTCCATGTCGTATCAAAGGAAAGTAGGCGATTAATTCTTTCCAGGATGTCCTGTGATGACCCATGTGGACTGGAATATGGCAGAATAACGAAGAGAGCAGAAGGCAGTACATGAAAACTCTTCTATTATAACACCGGCCCTAACCTTCACGTAGATTCACTGGCGCGACGAAGGAGCTCATAACCGGTCCCTAATCTCAGCCACATGAATCCAGTTCACGCACTCAGATCCCTTTAGTATTATCATCCCTTCTAGGTCCACGTCGTTTTCACAAACGAAACTCCTCTTATCCTCTTCATGGACGTACAGCACTTTACATCTGGTGCGGAAGAAATACCCAAGACCGAATTCATGACGGTACAACCATCCACAGCAATCTGCCATAAAATAGCAGTTCACCTTCTTCTGGCGACCAAAATATGTCTGGCGACCAAACTTTCCGATCCCTGCCATCATACAAAGTGCGACATAGTCACAGAGGTACGACCGCAGAACACATAACTGGCCCACCCTGTACCCTGGATCTGGATGGGGTGTAGTTTGTTGAGGTACTATACTACAAACCGGAAGGTAGCGGGTTCGATTCCCGATAAGGTCACATATTCCTGGGCGTAAAAGGCGGCCGGAGAGTAAGGCCGGCTGTCTAGAAAACGTGGGAGCCTCGACGTCTCACAACCCTATGGGCCTCTACCGCCTGTTACAGGGACAGATTTGCCTTTTACCTTGAATAAGCCTACAACTACGGTAAGTATATTAAGACGTAACAACAAGATGCACGTCCCATGTTCCTGATGCTGCTTCATACCAGGTGTTATTTGAGTCGTCTCTATCTCTGTCCCGCGGGCGGCTGCTGCTACTGCTGCTCAGTGTATTGATTGTGTTGTAGGAAGGGCTAAAGCTGCCATGCTAGACTAGGCGAGGCTAGGCCAGGCCAGGGCCGAGCTCCCTACAAACAATGCAAATTGCTCAAGACTGATTGACTGCACGACTGTTCGGGATACCATCGTTTCGGAACTTACACTAAAGTATCCACATATTAGGGTCTTCGAAAACAAATTGTTTAGGAGAATACAAGGATTTAAGGCAGATGAACAGAAGGCACGAAAACGAGGAACTCCATAGCCGTGTCCAAGTCATTATCAATCAATCATTCATTCTTTCATTAATGGCTCTACAGACCTTTTTTGGGCCCCTGCCTCTTCTTCAGTTCCGTAATCATTTCTACTGTCAGTAGGACTCCGTGGATGGGGGATCAGCCCGTCGCAAGGCCGCTAAATGCACACAGCACAACGTAAACACAGAATAAACGCACATAGACAGTTCATGCCTTAGACCGCGCGGCCACTGTGATCAGCCATTAAATTATCAGGGGTAAACAAACCGAGAGGTATAACATGCTGGGCCATCAGCATGCAAAGAGATACGAAATGCACATAAAAGTTTAATCGATAAAATTTCAAGCGCAAACACATTTTGGTAGACCTAAGAGTAGATGGGAAAGAAACGTTTGGTTTACTTAAAGACGTTTTCAATTCTTCTACAGTGTCGGACTGTAGGCCAATGACTTGGAACAATGTGTAACGACACGGTCACAGCATCAGGGAAATCAAGAAACTCCTTGATCAGGCGAACCGATCTCGTGAAGGGGAAAGGGAAATCTTAACACGAAGTGTTCAAACATTTCGCCATGACGTTCGGTGGAGTGGACAGGTCTTAGATAATAGGTGTGTAAGGGTGTTAACTACATTCAACTGTCTATGCATCATCCAACAACCGACTTTTGTGAACATGGTAATGAACATTAGACATTTCATGACTACATTATGGAGTTACTTTCTTGGGGTGGGGTGAGACTGAGTCCACTTTGTACGTCGGCCACTATTTGGTCAACTGTACCAACCAGACCCGGATGATAAGATTATCATGAATGTGCAGGAGTCGGTGGAATAAGAATTGGCAGGGCAAACCTAAGCACAAGGAGAAAAACTTGCCCCAGTGCCGCTTTGTACAAAACAAATCCCATATGACCTGACCTGGGATCGAATCCGGACCGCCGCGGTGGGAAGCCGGCGAGCCGGCCTGAGCTACGGCACGGCCACATTATGTAGTTAAACAGAACGATTAAGAAACGCAATTTTCCACTAATTTGTTGGATTTATTATGCGTTCAAATTCCACAAATTCCATTCTACACTAAACAGTCTGACATAGTGACAACGCCAAATACATACATAAACAAATAAAAGCTCTTTATCAGCAGCTCCGCTCAGAAAACGCGCATTACATACTTCTTTTTATCTGTCAGAATTAACCCTTGACCAGAGATGTGTTGGCTGGTGTGAGTGCAATATTCCGGTGGTAAGCAATGTTCGGAGCGTGAGGGTACTGGTCAGACTGGCGTCTGTACGTTTCCCACTATTCATGCTTCGTAGGCTCTAAAAGATCCAGGCTCGATTCTTGCAATTCTGGAAAATTTTACATACGTTACCCAAGCCTCGCCTGAAAAAATTCTGGAACAGTACTTGTAATCTCCAACTCAGCATCCAGTCGTGTTTCTGTTCGCCAAAATATCACCTGCAGCTGGAAAACCGTCACCAAATAAACAAAAAATGGCTAGAAACGCAGCCGGCGTGATGATTCTAAACTATTTCTCGAAAAGTTTAGTGCACCTCTTTCATCACGAGAAACAATTTACATCGCTTGGATGCACGTGCATATTCTGGATATTTCGTAAAATAGAAAACGATGTCAGCCCAACGCCCAACCCCCAAGAGTCTTCACTGTAGTATTGGATTGCTCATCCGATATTCCAGCAGTATCCAACGTAAAATGACTACCCAGCAGATGAGAACGGTATCACTGAAGTGAAACTTACGGAAACAGAAGACTGGAAGTGGATGTAAGTGCCAGTCGGTCGGTTAAATTGCTGAGGGTCCTCGCCAGCACAGTCATTCTCGGCTACGGGTCTCTTCGAGATCTACAATCAAGGGTTTTTTCCTCTTCTAGACTCGTACGTGTTTAGAATTGGGGCCTCTTCCTCGACAATGTCAGGGCTCTACGTCTGTTGCATCGCCGTTTCGCTGTCACACCTGGTGCTGCAGGCCCTCGTCAGCAAAGCGATTCTTGATTCCGAGTCCCACGGGACTCCACTAACTCTGTCTGGAAGCTGCCGGATGAAGTGGTACATTTTATTTTGTGATTTACTCTACGACGCTGTTGGCACCTAGACTGCCTACATAGCGTCGAATGGGAGTCACAGATGAAATGAAAATAATTTGTAAGGAAGCGGTCCTGGCTTAATCGAGGCATCATCCCGGCATTTGTCTGGAGGGACTGAAGCAAACGACGAGAACCTCAGTCAAAAGAGCCGATGCCTCGGTCAAGTCTCGGACCGAGTACCTTCCGAATACAAAAGTCTAGAGCGCTACCACTATTCCAACAACATCGAAAGGATCGTGTCCACTTTTTTTTTCACTGGCTGTACAGCCCCCTTGGACCCTGGCCTTTGATTTACAGTTTCATGATCATTTTACAGACGGTAGGACTCCTTGGACGGGTGATCAGCTCGTCGCAAGGTCTCTACCTAAACAAAGGACAACACAAACATATACCAAACACCCATGCCTTATGTGGGATTCGAACCCACGATGAAGGCTTACGAGCGAGCGAAGACAGTACATGCCTCAGACCGCTCGGTTACCGCAACAGGCAGAAACGTGTCCAATTGGGGCCATTTACTATTAGGTTGCGCTACAAAACATTTTAGCCGCTGGATATATCTTTAAAAGCATCCCTTACCTCAACATCAATCTCATTTTCGTGCGCTACTTAAAAAAGAAACGAGGCTCTGGTGACGGAGTCATGACAACAAAGCTAATACATATACTACGAAACAATACTCGTACCAACCGATAAGTTAAGTGATTTTCTACTCTGAATCCTGATTAAAAAAACTATAATGAACATGTTTAGCAGTGTCAACTTTAATCCCAGCAATGTAACAACTTCTTCCCAAGTCAAACTACATATGTCATGACTCCGCCCTCAGCAGCACTAATTACCGAGAACACCAAATGATAATGATGCCATAGCGCCACGCTTCCGGAAATACAAAACACGCAATGCAAATAACAAAGGCAGTTACTAGATCACATTATGCTAGATCGTTAACGGTTTGCTCTCCAGTTCTTCAACAACAGTAACGTCACAGCATCACACCTTTCACGTTCCATGCAGCCATGCCCATAATCTCCACAGGAACTAGCTCTGTGCTAGTCCAACCCGAACGTTCAACACCGCTAATACTGACCTCTGCATTAAACACGATTCTAACCAGATCCATCTATCTTCCGTCCTCACAACCTATTTTCCTTAACTCTCTGGTACCAGAGGGAGCCAGGATAGCGTAGTCGGTATAGCGACTGGCTATGGGCTGGACGACCGAGAGGTCGGAGTTTGAGTCCCGGTAGGGTCAAGAATTTTCATTATCCAATCGTCCAAACCGGCTCTGGGGTCCACCCAACCTCCTATACAATGGTTGCCGGGGGCTCTTTCTCGGGTTAAGCTGCCGGAGCGTGAAGTTGACCACTCGCCTCCAACTAGTGCTGAGGTCAAGAAAATGTGGATCTATACATCCACTATCCCATAAGTCTTCATGGCACAAGGACAACTTTACCTTACCTCTGATACCAGAAACCAAGGGTGCAATACAATTTATACTAGAGTCCACCATCAGAGACGGCCCACAGCCAGTTTCATCCACCACCCACCCTCCCAACACATTTCCTTATGGTCTTCCTTAAATGACTTCTGGCAGCACAGCGAAGTCGTTAGATGAAGAAACAAATGGTTCACTGAGGTAAAAGGTAAAGTTGTCCCTGTGCTTAATTAATAAAGCACTATGCCATGATGACATATGGGGGGTGGAAGTATAGCTCCACTTTTCGGCATTAGATGGGATTGAGCGGTCAGCTTCACGCTTCAGCCGCTCTTTCCCCGGGAACCCATTAAAGAGGAGGCTAAGTGGGCCCCAGAGCCGGTCCGGACGTTGTGGAGAAGAGAAAAATCTCTTCCCCCCCCCCGGAAATCGAATCCCTGCCGTCAACACAGTAGCCCATCGCAATCACTCAGTCCTACTACGTTCAGCACAGCGCTCTTGCACAAGCGGTACAAATTCACGGGGCTAAAACACGGTGCAAAATGCACTGTGCGCATGGCCGTCTTAAAGATACCCTCGTGAGTCACTATAACATACTGCCGTCAATTTTGCAGCGAATGCACAGAAATATTCGGTCCTGACAACACTAAATGATTCATACAAACATATGCACTGAACAATTCTTGCTGCGGATACGTCCTTGAGCATTATACACAACTCCCACTGGTCGCGAAATACTATGGTTTAACTAAACCGGAAGGTCATTCATTTCCTTATTACACGCCTGACAGTAGGGCAACAGACCTACGCCAGTTCGTAACTTCGCAGGAACCTACCACTTCTCCAAAATGAATTTTAAAATTACCCTCCCATTTACGCCAAATTCTTCAGAATAGACTCTTATACGTCCATGTTTCTCACCCACACTTCACTCACGTCACATTCCCCTGTGCGCTCTAAGAGTCCTGTCAATCTAATGCATCAATTATAATCTTATTCTGTTGTTACGTAGCATGGCAAACTCCATGAAGCTTGCAGTTCGTCTAAACGTAAAAAAAAACCACCCCCCCCCCCCCACAGAAACTACACAGAGCCTCAACGACCACCCAGTTAATGTTACTTAGGGAAATAATGGTTATTTATTTTAAGAGTCATGCCAAAAGCATAAATATGCTGTGTGGTGAAAATTCAGAGCTTCTAAATGTCAAAAACAGGCGATGCATATAGTAACGACTGTGATTTAAAAGGTTAAATAACCAGCGATCGGGGCGAACTGTTTCTAAAAACAGCGTATAGGAGATGCATGGTTTCAAACAGATAGTTCAACCTTGGTTTACTAGGTGTCTGAGCTCTATGACAAAAATGCTACCTTTCACCTGACGGCATCTGTGGCTACCCGTCACAAGAAATTAAACACCGCCACAGAATGGGTTAAATGCGAAATGAGGCTCATGGCGGTTACCATGAACACTGCTGTCTTCTGGAATGTGACGCTTTGTACTGGCACTTCGGAGGCACATTCTGCTTCCATCTTCAGGATCGATGACTACATATACCGGAATACACGGCGTCACATCCCACAAGACAGTATCTTCAGAATTAACATACATAACTGAACTCACACAAGAACATTTTAAAAGTCGAAACCAAACGCAATGACCAACACTCATTTCTTTCTGATGACGTTGCAAACGCGTAAGATACAGGAAGCAAGGCAGAGTGAGACAGTACTGTAACCGGGAACAAGTACACACACAAGTTTTCCTTGCTGTGAACTCGGCGATGTTCGCTCCCTGGCGACGACGAGTGAAGGGGAAATTGAGGACGTCTTCGGTCGGAAGTTTGGATTATGTAATGCTGTACTCCTCGAAGTTGCTCCCCCGTCCGACGAACTTCTGGCCGACTATTATACTAAGTTGTTGTGTTCGCAAAGTTGCCAGAAGTGACAGACATCGGGGTGGGGGGAAAAACTGTTTTCAACTAATCGAGGGGAAAGTTCTAAAGGGTAAAGCGGTCACAACTGATATACCTTGTCAGAACTATACATTCTACTCCAATCTGACAGACTTGAAAGGATAAAGTAAAGCTGTTTGTTGTTCGGCTTACGCGCGAAGTCACGAGGCCATGAATCCGGTGTATAACTCCACGGACGAGAATCAATTTAAGAGTGGGCACCTTCATATTTCAGCACAGAACATCTTCCCGTGGGGCACGCGGTTTAGTAGTTGGTTGAGGCACTATGCTACAAGCCGGAAGGTCGCGGGTTCGAGTCCCTTCAATATCACTGGATTTTTCAATTGAGCTAATCCTTCCAGCCGAACTATGTCCCTGGGGACGACTCAGCCTCTAACAGAAATTAGTACCAGGAACCTTCCTCGGGGTAAAAGGCTGCCGGCGCGTAAGGCTGACCTCACTGCCAACTATGAGCCGACTGTCTAGAAAATGTGGGAGCCTCAACATCTCACAACCCTATGGGCCTCCACGGCCTGTTACAGGGATAGCTTTACTTATATGTTTGTTCGTGGCATATCAAGAAACCTTAAAATTAAAACACACAGACAGATGATTGTTGAAGTGCGGATAACATATGAATCAAAATAAGAAGTTAAGTCACAGGAGGATGGAGAAAATCACATAAAGAGTAGCTTCACGATAACGATATGGTGATTACATTCAAAGAGTATGGGTTGGAAGGAATATAGCATGTGCGGGGGAAAGAGATGCTTCTATAAGTGTATCATCCGGGAACTTTAGTAACAGCCTTGAAGAGCCGAGCCATAGCTCTAGCGGTTAGTCGCTGGCTTCCCACCGCTGCGGCCCGGGTTCGATCCCGGGTCTGGTCAAGTGGGATTTGTGGTGGACAAAGTGGCGCTGGGGCAGGTTTTCTCCTAGTACATTCGGTTTCCCCTGCCAATCTTCATTCCACCAATTGCTCCACAATCACCCTCACACATCATCTGGGGCTGGTACAATAGGCCAGAAGTGCCCGCAGTACAAGGGACTTAGTCCCGCCCCACTAGCAATAAAAAAACAGCCTTGAAGACCAACACATTGGTGAGAGGATAATATTAATGCAGACCTTACAGAAATATGGCGAGGGTGTGAAATGGATTCAATTACCCAAGAATACATTCCATGACAGTTTAACACGACAATGAGCCTTTTGGTTCCATACGAGGGAAGGAATTTCTTAAACATCTGGTAGCTAACAACTTGTGAAGGGAATCGTTGCGCAGTCAGTGGGCTACCTTCTTCCTCGGACCGTTACACTCATGAGAACATATTTCAAACCCATTACCTAAGAGACATGGGAGAGTTATGAGCCATTTCGTATGTTGCGAAGAGTAAAATTATAAAGGCCTACCAAGATTTCAACCAAGGCCGTCACCACACGAAAACACGCACTACCACGTCCCTGTAATGGTCACTCAACAGCAGAGATTCTCAACATCAAAGTGGCCTGTAGCTAAATAACTTACGGAGCATCACATAATGCATTACACATTTACACTTGCAATTGGTGAGAAAATCTCTTGTAAAGCGGTAACAAGAAAAACCAACGAGGACAGAATATAAATAAAGATTTTAGAAAAGCAAGACACGGCGAAATGTGGCACAGCTCAGATATTTCAGAATTAGAGCAACAAATCAAAACCTGATTCAGGAAGAAATAACGAGGAGACTGAATTCTGGTAATGCCTGCTGCCATTCAGTCCAGAACGTTTGTCTTCTCGTCCGCTGTCTAAAACCATAAAAATTAGAATATACAAAACTATATTTTTACCTGTGGTTCTGTACGAGTGTGAAATGTGGTCTCCGACATTAAGGGAGGAACACAGAGTGAGGGTGTTGAGGGTAATATCTGGATTGATGAGAGATTAAGTGACAGGAGGTTGGAGAAAACTACATAATGAGGAGCTTCATAACTTGTATTCTTTGTCAAGTATAATTAGAATGATCAAGAAAAGCAGAATGAGATTGGCAGGGAATGTAGCACAAATGGGGAAGATGATGACCATATAGGATACTGGTGTGAAAGCCAGAAGGAAAGAAACCGCTAGGAAGACCAAGATGTAGGTAGGTGGACAATATTAAAATGGATCTTGGAAAGACAGGATGGGATGGTATGGACTCGATCATTCTGGCTAAGAACAGGACCCACTGGAGGGCTCTTGTGAACACGGTTATGAACCTTTGGGTTCCATAAAATGCTGGGAGCTTCTAGAGTTGCTGCACAATTGGCGGCTTCTCAAGAAGGGCTCAATTCCACGAGGGTGGGAGACATGGCGATGGGTGGCGGATGGAACTAGATGTGACGGGCTCTGACATCAACGCTATTCATTACCTTCATTACCAAAGAATGGGTAAGTGAGGAGATTACCTGCCCTACATCCAAACACCGCTGAGTAAGTTCAATGGAAATCAGTCTACTGGTTCAAGAGTTAATAAAACCAAAGAAGACATCTGTCATACGACCTATATTGAAGGCTTGCGCACAATTCATTGTTAACGGTTACATGCCGCAAGAAACCAACAGGAAGG